CATCTTATATATCAACTACATAAGGACATAAATTGGTTGAAAACATGGCTAGATACAAGAACATGACGATCTTAACTCTGTAACACAATGACAATCAAGCATAATAGGATGGAAGCATTTTCTAATTTTGACGAAACATACTCTCCTACATAGGAAGTCAGACAGCATTCAGGCATAAACAAACTTACGACAAATATTCGTCTAAGTTTTGACAAGACAATATTCTTACTAGAGTTAGCAACGCCACAAAGCATGAGCATCACGTACAATTAACTTTAGGATTACATAAAATTGAGATAACATCCACTCCATTCCTCGATAAAATCAATCACCTCTCTTTGTGACGGCTACGTAAAATTGACATATTGGCTCTTCTCCTTCTATAGAATGTTCGGCCAAACGCTTACATGGTAATCTTTGGCGAGTAACAAAGCATCCATACTGCACCTCCGAAATGATCGCAAGCATGGGCTCCCTCCATTACGGCGTTCTATAATTAGTTTTCATCGCGATTTTCTACTTCCCGCCCTTACGAGAGACTATCGGCGCCAATCAAATCATCATTTAGCATCATCAAAAGGATCCCAATTAAAGTATTGCTCGAAAACCTTGCTTGGTAAAATCATAATGATTCCTTCATTTGCACAAATTCCTTTACTATCCTCTATGATGCAGCGCTGCAATATAGCGGGTAGATCAAAACTGATCGCCACTTTAATTCCTTGTTGCTAGCAAACTCCGCTGGCATTTCACGATCAGAAATCAAAATATAATTTTCCATATCGTAGTCAACTCAAAAAATAAAAAAAAAATGTGGTCACATACTGTTTCAACAGAGAGTAACTTCACATGCCGTCTTGATACTAAAGAATTCAAAAGTGCTTTTTCCTAATAATCCATTTAAAGACAAAGTTGCACTAAATTCCCATCCTACATAGGATCTAAATATCTCTCCTAACCTGCCTTCCCATAAGCTGTTGTGATGGACTATCCTTTGGTCCCCCACGATACAATCTCCTTCGAGCGGCAAACCTGAGAAACTGTTTGTAGAAATTCTGTTTAAATTGAATTACTGCCAACATAATATGTATTGATTTAGATTCACAAAGTGCAGCCGGGGACTTGTTATATAACTAAACATAAAAATATGTTCTCGTTAAATGTTTACTTCCTCATAGTCGTAGCAATCCTGTATTCATCTTCATATGGTCCTCAGACCATTTCTTCTCCGCTCCAGATAGGGTACCATCGCATTTCATTTAGTTCTATGAGAAAAATAGCATTGTCATTAATCTCGGTTAACTTGTGGATAGGTCCGCGCCCTCTTTGGAAAGCCCTTATATGTTCGCTTCAGTCCTCAATAACCCTCTAGTTTTATTTTTGCAGATAGACCCTGGACTCTGTTACCCTGAAAGAAGAGAATTATTCTTGGAGAAACATGGCTTCATGAAGCATAAAAGGAGTCTGGGTCTATCAGAAATAAAAATTAACGAGCACGCAGTAAGCCTCAAAAAAACATCGATACAGACTCAACCAAGGTCTAGAAATCAGAGCCGCCAAAAAGACCCCAGAGTAATACATTGTTCGATATCCAGCCCATTAAATGAAATTAAAATGTGAATAGCACATAATGCGCTGAGTATAGCCATAAGTGGATAGGCCCTATACGAGCTGGATGCTGGGCACAAATAGTCTCCGATGTCATCTCAAATCTCCCCTGTTACCGGTTCAACCGGCTCCAGCCAACGGGGCTAACAACCCCTCCCCCTCCATACCAAAGATCAGTATAACTTCCAACAGCGTATTAATATGGGTGCTGCATATTGCTACCTTTCTCTTTTTTTAACCATTTTATCCGCGCCCTTAACGTCGGCAAGTATCTTTTGAATCCCTATAGAATTAAATCTGCCGTTACCGACGAGGGACCCTATCCATTCCTTGGTTAAGGTAAGAACGTAAGCTCCGCCGCCACTTGGACAGTCCCTATATTGTCCTTGCCGCCGCCTGGCAAACCTCATAAAATTTCGTCCAATCTGCGGAGATGGTGATGAAAGTCGTTAGCGCCCCACAGATGAACAACCGCAGATCAGCATGGTAAGCTGTTCAAGTAGCGTTGCGAGCTTGCAGTATAAGTTGCAATATTGCTCTGTTGGCACTATGCGGCTAGCTATGTGCCGATTGCCCTTTTTTCGGGTAGAGGACAAGCAGCATAATAAATATAATGTTATCTGGAAGGAAGCTTTGAAAGCTTTTTATATAGAATCATTGAAATTTAAAGGCAAGTTGATTGAAGGTTAATTTAGATGTTTTATGAATGGTTTTAAGCTGGCCACATCAATTTGTGGGGATTCAGGTTAGATTTCAGAAACACCCAAGAAGTTGTAGCCTATTTGGGCGACCTATTGCCACAAATTCTTTTTAAATTTCGAGCTTTAACTTCAATCCTATAGTTTAAGGAGCAATTTTAGAAAGCCGCGAACAACACTTCTAAACTTTTCTTCCGCTGCCTTAATTCAAAAAAAAATTAAGCCCGACAAAATTTTCAGGGATGCAATAGACTGCCCATAACAAGACTCTCCTCTTTCGTATTTATCTGAAATGCTAATAGCTCATAAAAAAAAAACTCAAAAATCTCAACATCTTGTAATGGAGCGTTTTGTTAAAATAGTCGTGAACTTTTGGGTTTTGTTCTTTTTTTTCCCTTTAACAAATGTCCAAAATTATGTGGTATAGTCATTTTTTCGCGCATCGTGTTAGCTTGAGCGTGGTACTTACAAAATTTACGGGCTTAAAATCCATGGCTTTGGAGCGTTCATCTCACAAACACTGTGATCGGGCGCCGCCGTGCGGAAACTTGCCCCTCGACAATCAAACGAGTCTGAGGGGTGCAGCCGATGACAGAGAATCCCAAAAACCCAAAAACCTAAAACCAAACACGAGCTGCAATTCACAAAGCTACGACGACAAATCAAACCACAATACACAGGCAATCTTCTTCGCGGCGACCCTCTTTTCATCACACCTGAACCTTATACTCCTTACTTCAACCACGTTTTCTACAATCGTTACGCCTCTCTTTTTTGTTGCATTGAACAAAAGCCATAGGACATATTCCCATGCGAAACTAGATGTTTCCCCTTCACGATCCATTTTAGTAGTATAAGGTGAGGCTGAGTAAGAGATTCTCAACAATTTTGTTAAGTCTGAACTCACCCAAATAGGTGCTGGACCAATTTTTTTAAAAGTGTTAGCCGAATGCTTACAGCGCAACTTAATAGATGATCTCCTGAGCCTCTGTGTGGTGTGTAAAAAGAAGGCGAAAAGAGAGTGAGAACCTGAAGTGTGGAGTTGAGAGCGTAGCTGGTCTCTCCTACTCCTCCAACCATATGAAGGATCTTAGCGACTTCCATCTTTATTCTATGTTTAACTAATCGCTTCCCTTCCTTCTATTGCTCCAAAGCTGGCCACAGTGCTGTTATTGTGCTTCAAACATCCTTCATGTCTTTATACTGACTTCGTAAGAGTTAACTCACACCGTACTAACCTTTGGCCATATGCAAGTCACATTAATTGGTGCAACGTGCACCGCATATTCAAGGAAGGGACGGGAGACCAATTTGAACTGTCATGTTGAAGCATGTTCTTGAGGGTAAATTATAGAAATTAAGGGTAAGTTACGCTAAACCCCCATGAACTTTCTTTTGGGGATTTTAGTCTCCCCCCTTACTAGGGATCTCCACAACTAAGAAGTCAACCCACAATCTATAAGATGGAAGACAACCATAAAGAAGAAAGAACACCGAGATTTACGTGGTTCGATCGACCAACTTCGACCTACATCCACGGGACAACAATATGAGAAATTCACTATGTATGAGAGAGAACTATAATAAGAACCACTCAACTCACGTCTCTCAATCTCTCAACCTCACATACATAATCAACTCTCATATTCTCTCCAAAACTCATTCCTTATAATTTTTTGGACGGACTCTCTCACAGTATTGTAATCTTTTGCACGGATAAAACCATGAAACCCTCGCCTCTTGCACAATATTTTTTACGCCTTTTGCTAACCCTAGATTACAAGATTATTAGATCTCTCTCTCCTCTCCTCCTTGGCTTTTCCTCCAACAATAGAAGAATATATATATAGAAACCAAAACTCTATCTCTAGCATAATTTCCTAACTATAATAGCAAATAAACTCATAATTATGATGCGACCCAATCTCCTAATCATGATATATTTTTAGTCATATCTATTTCTCATGAAGGTATACAAAGAATCAAAGACACAATCCTAACAATTACAGCGTCTTACAGTAAAGCCCTATGAACCTTCAAAGTCACACTAGTTACCCCAAATGACTTTTGCAGAAAACACTCAATATCTTTTGGATAAATCACACTAAACCCCTAACAACTTTCAGAATGCCATTTTATGTTGTTTTTGTTGGAATAGTAATAATAATTTGCCCTTGAACATCCAATACAAATTATGTAATAATATTGTAATGTTAATAAATTTAATTGTTGCACATAATTTGGTTATTATTTATATAATTGTTATATATATCCTTAGAAGTTATTTTGTTAGATCATGCATTGTGATGGTCACTTGCTTGGAGATATGATCTAACTTAGAAATTTCTTAAATTTGTGCTTAACCTATAACTAGTAAAGGATAACTTTGTTATAACAGGTTATTATGCATGACACCGATATATGAGATATGGTGGTGGGTCTCAACCATCGAGAATGGAGATTCTCCGGGTGTATGTCATAAGCACGCATTATGATGTGTGTAGCACTAGACCGTATTTGAATTCTCTAGGATGAGTCACCTAAGAGATAGAGAGTTCAAATTGTTACATGGTCCCTTTGACTTGATGATATTATCATTTTCGATTTGATAATTTAGTATGCTTTGATGTGATGGTTAAGCTTGTTTAGCAAGCGCTACACAACCTGAAACATTGGGTTGCTAAATTTCATTTAGGAAAATGATGGATGTCTAGATAGGATCCAGTATGCTCATTATGATGAGTTAATTTATTATGCATTCCCATGAAGCTATTAAATTCCTGCCGGCAGGTAGCTTTGAAAATATTTTTACAAAATTTATTTTCTTATAAAAAATAAAATATTTTGATGTTTCAAAATAATTTTTATTTATGTTCATGGGAATTGCAAATTTAGACATGAGCAAATAGGTGAGTTGTCCTACTTAAAAGAGTTGCCTAGAATAAATGATACTGGAAGGGATTGAATGTAAGATATTATTTATTAATAATTAATCCCATATTATGGAAGAGCTTTTATGAACAATTGGTCGGATAGGGATTTGATTGTTAAATTAAAATTATTAATTTGATTAATAATTGGTTCTCGATATGGGACCCAATTGGTCTCACTAATGTCATTAGAAGAGGTATACATGCAATGCAATTCTATTTCTATCCTTAATTGTTATGGATAAAGTTTTTGAATAAATCTATTTCTATCCTTAATTGTTATGGATAAAGTTTTTGAATAAATCTATTTCTATCCTTAATTGTTATGGATAAAGTTTTTGAACAAATCTATTCTATCCTTAATTGTTATGGATAGAGTTCTAGATAATTATGAATTGTTTAAAGTTAAAATCTCTAAGACTAGTGTAATCCTATAAATAGGGTTCATATGTAGCCTTATGAGAGGTTAAGAGAAGAGATTCAAAATCTTATGAAGATAATATGAAGAAATAGATTTTTGAGAACCTATCTCTCAGTATTGCTCCTCTACGGTGACGGGTGGATTTCAATTGGAGGCTTTTTCTCTTGAGGAAGCTATTTTGGATTGATCTCGGGACAGATTATTGTAGAAATTCGGAAAGCGTTTCAGGTATTCTTCTAATATTTAATTAATTTTGATTAATAGTCATGATATGCTTTTTCCGCTGCGTTGTATGTCATGATTCCAACAAATGGTATCAGAGCGGGTTCAGAATCCAATCTGTAATAATTTAATCGGATTAAATTATCTTATTTTGATCTATTTTGACATTTTTAATTGGATTAAATTGAAAAAAAAAATGGTTGAAAAGTCCGGGTACTGTTCACGGCCAGGAAACACTGTTCACGGCCGGCGGTATTGTTCATCACCGGAAACACTGTTCATTTTCCGGGGTTACTGTTCACGGATCGGCAGTACTGTTCATCGCCGAGAACACTGTTCACTGCCGGAGTGGGTACTGTTCATAACCTGAAATCAATGTTTACAATAGTGGGTTATTGTTTATGGGTTAAAATTCTTATGATTAGATCAAAGAATTTTTCTTTTTCAATTGTTGTAATATTTAGCTTATTGTTAGATTTGATCTAAATAGAGTTTTTAAATTGTTATAATTACTTTATCAATGTAGTTGTGGCCTATTGGATGGGCGGCGGAGGAGGAGATGACCGGAGTTGAGATTTGATCTCACAACAATATTAAACAAAAAAAAAAGGTTGATCGCCGGAGATGGTCGCCGGAGATAGGCCGCCGGTGCGGTTGCCCCGCCGGCCGCGGTGGGCTCACCGCCGCCGCCGCCGCCGGACAATTGGTGGTGGTGGGCTATCCCACAATTATAGCAAAACCCTAACCCTAGGTCTTCATTGAAGAAGATGATCTTAATGGGTTATTTTCATAAAGGGTTATGTATCCAAACCCATTAAGACTTAAGTTTAATGAAACGGGTTTGACCCGCAAACAGAACTCAAACCCGAAACCCTGATAATTTGAATTTTACTGTAAAATTATTATTAGACCCCTGATTGATCCAGAAATTGTTCTGAAGTCCATCAGGTTCTCAAACACGCTATCAAATTAGTTATAGCTCCCTGAAAAACCCAGAAACTGTTCTGGAGTCTGTGAATATTGATGAATTGCTATCAGACCCCTGTTTGATTCAGAAACTGTTTTGAAGTCCACCAGTATTGATGAATAACTGTAAAATTAGTTACAGACCCCTGTTTGATCCAGAAATTGTTCTGAGTCTACTAGTATATTAATTTTGATGTGAAATTAGCTTCACCCTCCTGATAGATTTTGAAACTGTTTTAAGATCCATCTGAATATATAGACTAATTTTTGATTAGTCCCTAGCACTTACAGAATTTGTTCAAAAGTCCATATGCATGTATAGTTTAGTTTCCTTTGTTGAAAAGATTATCTAACTCTTAGTGAATTGTTAGAAATGATATTGTATCATGTATATTTCTGAAATATTATTTGTATTATACTTGTGATATGATCATGTTGATTTTAAATTGTTTAAATTCAATAATTCATGTGATTAAAGTAATACATGAAAAATTACTGTAAGGTCCAGAATTGTTCTGAATTTGTTTTATTAAATAAGACAGTTTAGAATTTATTAGAAATTGACTGTTGTTATTTTCTCTCAGTTATAATAAATAACAAAAGTTGTATAGAAGTGTAGATAGATTAATTTTTTAAGAAATATAAATCTAAAGGTCTTCCATCATAGAGATATAACTTAGATAATAATTTTTTAACTTATCTGATGCCACAAAGGATAGGGTTTGTTAAAATTTATTATCTAGTTATACCTCGCATAAGGATGCCAAGTATTTTATGTATAATGGGACCACTAGACTAAAATAGGTAGTGCCACCTGTTTTATATAAAATAGCTGGATTGATGGGTTAACACTTCATTGATGTCTTGGGGTGCTCGCTAAAATAGTGGGGCACATCTTACATCAAAGACCAAAATTTAAAGGAAAATCGTTAATTGTTAATGATTGAATAGATGATTCTACCTTGTTTAATTATATTCGATCTTGAAAATCTGGAGGTTTATAATTAAACTTGGATTTCCTGTTCACATTTAAATAAATGAGAGAAATGTTAAATGTGAAATCATTACTTAAAATATCCCTGTAATGATTGTGCAATAATAAAATAATAACTTACAATATTTGTGTTATTATATTCTGCTTGTACATGATGACTAAATTTTGTCATTTTGATATGTTATTGAATGATTATAAATTAGATAGCCCGAACTGTTGGATTGGAAAAGAAATCTATTTAATTTTCAAATGCTGAATGTTTGGCCTATGATTGTCTAAGGTGACATACCCGCTTAACCAGATGTAACTGATGATAAAGATCATCAATCATAATCCTGCTTAAAGATAATAATGATAAAAGTAATGTTCATAAGATGAAAACAGATATATATTTTCATATGATGTTTTGATATATATTGACAAATTAGATTTGTTGGAAGTTAAGATCGAAATCAAACGTTGATGTGATATTTACTTCCTAATCTCACTCCTTGTTTAATTTAACTACCATTGTATTAGAATTGAACAACTTGTTAAAGAAAAAGTGAAAAGAATATTATTAAGCAGGTTAAATCCATAATGATGGATATCGAACTGGATTGTCCAGTATTAAGAAAA